TCCTGTGGTAATATAACCCAAAATGTGATGTGGTCTTAAGAGGTTAAACATGAAAAAGTCATAAAATATCTCACGTCATTTCAAATTCCTGCTCTTTTATGGTTATTTCTCATTATTTTTATATTATTTTTTTAATCCCAGCTACCAGAACTCTACCAAGTCTTACAGTGTGTTCTGCTATGGTGCACACTAACAGCCAAAATGTTACCCGATGAGCTGCACAAGTGCTGCAAGGTGGATTTTATACATCAGCTGCCTCCCTCTGATTTCAGCCTTTGTCCTAAACTCAACTCACCCTGTCCTGGCTGCACCTCCATATTTAATGGGCAGACAAGAAAAGTGGAGTCTGTGTCCTCATCTAACTCCCTGCAGCAACAGCGAATAAACATCTTTGCCAAAATCACAAACTGTGCCAATAAACAGCAGAGCAGCAGCGTGACATTTAATTCATTAAGTCCCCAGACCATCCCAAACGACCACGATTAGGTAAAACGAAAGTCAAACAATCAAAGCAGTGATCCTCCGTCAGACATGTGACTGAATCATGTTGGTCTGGTTAGTGTCTGGACCAGAACCATCAGACACCACGTAGCCTCTTTAAACCCTCACAATGCCACGCTGTTGTCAACGAAGAGCCGAAAAAGTCAGTCAGTCAGTCAGTGTCGCTAAATGAATTAAAGGAGGCTCAAAGCCAAAAATACCAATATGTCAGTACCAGAAGGAAAGATCGCAGCTTTTCTTCCACTCTCGCTCTCTGAGTCTCCTCCAGCTGAGAGATGAGCTCAGTGGATTTGTTGAGTAATGGACTGAAGTGATCAAAGCCGTCCAGAGTTAGTCGTGTGTGTGCAAGAGAGAGACGCAGCGAATATCAAACCCGGGGAGAGTTCAGTGGGTTGATGTATGACAGGTGAGCCACAGCTGGGCGCTAACGGGGAACAGATGAGGGCTGCAGCTTCTCACGGAGCCCAGGAGGAGCAGGGCATGCTGGGAAGGGAGGAGGACCAGGGGGAGGACTTCCAGGAGAGGGGGGGTCGTTGATTGTTTTAGGGGCTCTTGAAGGGTTCCAGGGGGAACTCCTAAAAGTTTACTAACTTATTTTAGTCGTGTTTTTATGAGGGAATGTTAAGGAATGATTTTTTTTTTATTTTTACAAACAATGTAAAAAATTCTGTTTTTCTAACTCTAATGTTTTGAACCTTTTACTGCTGTTTTCCAGGCCTTCCCTGGTTTGTTAAATCACAGAAAATAACGAGAAAACGGTCACAGAAAAAAACCATTAATTTAAATGTTAACCTTAAAAAAACGGTCGAAACATGAGAATGACAGTTTTGCTTACTTAAATCAGCAAAAATAATAATTAAAAATTGTAAATCTTTGAAGTGACATTTTTCAAATTTTGCACCTTTTCTTGTAAATTATAGATTGAATCTATCATAATTACAGAATAAAGTAATAATTTAAATGTTGACACGTCAAAGCTGTAAACAATGTATACATTAAATAAATTCTTTTTTTTTACAAATAGAAAATGGTTGTTTTGCAAAGTGACAATAAAATTAGTTGATTTAAATCAGCTGAAAATATCTTTATTTTACAAATATTGCCATTATTTTCATTTTTATTTATTTATTTTTTACATTTTTACATGAAATTTGTTCTTCTCCGATGTGCAACCATAAAATTAGGATTGGGATTAGGATTAGGTTTAGGGAGTTCTTGCTGTATTTAAATCAAAATAAAAAATACAAAATTCCAGATGTAAATGACTATTTGAAAGCAAAATAAGCTACAGTAAAGATGACAATATGACAGATGGTTAAATTACAGATAATATTTGGTATAGTCACTGGAAAAATGTATAATTTACATTCTGCTTAAAAAAAATGTCAAAACTTTTAATAATATCCACGTCAAAAATATATTTTAACAAAAAGTAATTTGTTGTTTTACAACGTGACCATGACATGACATCTTTCTAGTATATTTAAATTCACTAAATGCATCATTATTTTACAAATATTTTCCATATTTGTTTTAATTTTAACTTTTTAAATTTTTACATGTAATTTGTTCTTTTACAATGTACAGATATTTGTCGTAACTTAAAAATTACAGATAATATCTACTGATCTTTAGCTGAATCACTGTATAACATATTAACGTACATTTTGAATTAAAAGAATTTACAAAATAATAACAATGTTCATATTGTCCTCATCAAAAATGTGCGCTGTCAGGTCAGTAACTGTAAAACCACAATATTTTTCTGTATTTAACTCAGCTAAAATATCAATATTCAGTAGATATTTGCTGTTATTTTTACAGTTTTTGAACCCTTCTTTAACATATGTTTTTCTACTAGACTTGAACTTTTTTTATTATGATGATTTTTTACAGTGCTCCTGTGACTAACTCAGCCAACTTCCCTGCTGTCTCCCAGATGTCACCATCTAAGCGGCCTAACCCACAGACTGCAGCCTCCTGTGTGTCTCTAACGGTCTGGACCGGTACCCGGTCTTGTGTCTCACCTCTTGACCCGGATGATCTGGTCTCTCATGGGCTTGATGTCCTGAAAACTTTGCTGGTTGACCAGGCTGTAGACCAGGATGAAGCCCTGGCCGTTCCGGATGTAAAGGTCCCTCATGGAGGCGAACTGCTCGGTGCCGGCGGTGTCCAGGATCTCCAGCACCGACGGAGACGAGTCCACCTCGATCTCCTTCCTGTAGAAATCTTCGATGGTCGGGTCGTACTTCTCTATAAATGTCCCGGTGACGAACTGCACGGTGAGCGCCGACTTGCCCACCCCGCCGCTGCCGAGCACCACCACCTTATACTCCCGCATCCTGCGCGCTCAGATCCGGCATGCAGAGGAGGAACAAACGCATCCCCCCGCACAGGAGCCTGCTGGACTCAGACTGCAGCCTCCGATGGATGAGATGCTCTTTTTTTTTTTTTTTTTTTTTTTCTTTCTTGCAGGGTCTAGGCGAGATGATGCTGGAGCATGAAGCCTCTACTGAGATATTCCCACGCTATCTTGAAGGGACACCATTCCAGAGGCATCCATAATGCAATAAGGCGTCGGTGTGGTAAAAATAAGATTGGCTATTATTAGAAACAGCCAGACGGCACATCTTTTTCTGTGCCGACCCAACAGACGGCTAACACTACATTTCTGTGCACAGTGGGGTTCAGCAGAGTTAAAGGCAAAGCGCCTATTTATCCTGAAGAAGACAACAGTGCTGGGAATCCACGCCTCTGAGTCAGTGCATCCACTGGATGTTACTATTTCCTGGAAAATATGGAGGGTGATTAGTGCCACAGGGCAGCAGCAGCAGAAGAAGAAAGCAGGGATGGGCACTGTGGAGCAGAAAGGAACAAACAAATGTGCAAAACGTGGATCTGGAGCTCATTTCTGCATCAATTTGTTGTGGAAAAAACACTAAATTCATGCTCCTTAGGGTTATCCTACAAAGCACTGATATATCCAGGCTTTCTTTGAGTTAGCCGGCTCAATAAAACATGAAACCCCAGTCAGAGATTAATGATACAAAAACGAACTTTAAGCGGGTTTGGGCTAATTAGGATAATAAATTAAGACAATAAGAGTTCATTGTATTAAAAGCCTGCAAGGATCAAGACTCAATGTAATAAAGGCGCTAATAGTTTTGGGTTTTCTTTGTATTGTTCGGCCTTGTTTCTTCTCCCATTTTGGGTATGTATGTTTGAAAAAGTTGATGTATAAAGTAACGGTATGGAAAAAACCTAATGTAGCGTAAAGGAAGGCTGTAGATTTCATTTCTGCGACGATTTATTCTGGAAATGTCTTCATTCCTGTAAAGAAAAACACAAAATTAGTTATATTACAAAGCAAGTTTCACATATCCTGGCTTTGTCTGAGTTAGCCAGCTCAACAAAACCTAAACCCCAGTCACAGATGTGTGAGTCAATATGTAGTTAACATTACATCTGCACAGTAGATCTACATAAACGGAAAAGAAAAAACTAATTAGTAAACTATAGATTTCATTTCTGCATCTAGTTATTGTGGAAATGCCTTTTTTTTTGCAAAAGGAAACATAAGATTTAGAGGTTTATACTAGAACGCAAGTTTGACATAGCCAAGCTTTGTTTGAGCTCAACAAAACCTAAACCCCAAATAACAGGTATCACATTCATTGTTAACCAGGTTTTCTTCATCAGACTTGTGCATACGTATATAAAAGGGGTGTTTAATTCATCATGTGACTTGTTTACCACCATAAAACGGACCTTGAGGCCATCAGAGGTTACTGCAGGGTTAATTCAATCAGTTCTATTAAACCTGCGTAACCATTTTTGAATAGTCCTGCTTTGTAATATGGCTATGATGCACAAACACATGGAAAAGACAAGGTAGAAAATAATAACAACAACAACAACAACAATAATAATAATAATAACAATAGGTATAACAGAGTGACGATACATAAAGATTTACCCCCTTTCCTTTTTTAATTGCCCCCTCAGTCCCTTCATCCCAGGCCTGACATATGAACATATGTGGTTTTTGGGAACATGCTCATGCTATTATTTGATCTTATTTTTTAGTGGACAGTCGACATAGAACCTGTCAGGAATCTGGGTTAAGCACCCATTATGTAATGAGAGCAAGAGCAGGGTCATCTGGAGCCTCGTCACACCCGTTTGTGACTGAACCAATCCACTGCTTTTGGCTCAATGTTATCAAATATTAAGAATATACTGTGGAAAAATGTAGACAACAATATTTCTTATTGATGGGCGATTTTCATTCATATTTCTAGTTCTGGTGCAAACATAAACAGCAGCAATATTTCTAATGAGCTTTGTTGATATTTGTGTGTTTCCTGTATCTCCTTGTAATGAATCAAGAATGCCATGCTTGACTCGGTGACAGGTGCTGCAGCAGCGAGGGGCGACGTGAACCAATTCTCACATCTGTTCGCTGCTGCCAGCGGGAGACGCCGACATCGGTGCCGACTCTGTGGGAGCTCGGGAGCTCGAGCACCCACGGGAGAAAGTGGGAACCCCCCTGGGGAGTTACGCTATGTGCAGGGAATTTGTAGCTCGGTGAAACATTACAGTTGTCCAGCAGCTCCCTCCTGGTTTCCAACACTCAGGTTTTTACTAAAAACAAAACACTAATCAGCAGATGAGGCCTTGACTCGATTGGATTCAGGTCACATGGTTAGAAAGTGACCAATCAAAGGTTTTTTACATCAAGTTGTTGCAAAGGTTGCTAATGTGTCATCAGTTTTAACCTGAAGACAGCACATGCAATTTTAAAGCCACTTAATTTACCTTAATATGCTTTAATTGGCTGCAAGGTGGAACAGTGGTTAGCACCATTACCTCACAGCAAGAAGGCCGCTGGTTCGCGTCCTGGTGAGGACACCCGGGATCGTTCTGCGTGGAGTTTGCATGTTCTCCCCGTGCAGCGTGGGTTCTCTCTGGGTTCTCCGGCTTCCTCCCACACAGTCCAAAAACATGTTGAGGTTAATTGGTGATTCTAAATTGTCCGTAGGTGTGAATGTGAGTGTGCTTGGTTGTCTGTCTCTAAGTGTAGCCCTGTGATAGACTGGTGACCTGTCCAGGGCAGGGGTGTCCAATCCTGGTCCTCGAGAGCCCCTATCCAGCATGTTTGAGATGTTTCCCTCTTCCAACACACCTGATTCACATGATCAGGATCGTTATCAGGCTTCTGCAGAGCTTGATGATGAGTTGATCATTTGAATCAGGTGTGGGTGTCCCCTGCCTTCACCCTGAGTCAGCTGGGATAGACACCAGCCTCCCACGACCCTAGTGAGGATGAAGCGGTGTATAGATAATGGATGGATACTTGAATTGTATGAATATCAGGTATAAAAAGTAGCCAGCTAATAGATTTGTACACACCATGTTTTACTACATTTGGTTCGACTACACTCACGCCTGTGTGCTCACTCTACAAACAAAGCTTCAGTATTAGAAAAAGCCCCAAATGATCATTATTAACACAACATCCTAAGAAAAATAAAAAATATTAAAAAAGACAGCAGCTTTCTAATTAAAGCACAACATCAGGAAGCTTTGTAATGTTCAAAACCAGCCTTAAGATTTGGTTGAAGTCACCACAAAACTGTCACCACCAATTACTGCCTTTTATTTACTGATTCTACTCATTATCTCACACTGATGGACAGAGACACATGTAAACGAGCTGCTAACTAACTCTGACACCATTAAACTGTGTGCTGTCCCTGCAAAAAAATAAAAAAATCAACTGCAACTTTAATTACAAAATTCAACTTCAATTACCCCTCTTTGCACCGTTAAAGGCTCAAGTAAGCCAAACAGTAAATATTTAGACCCCCAGTGGTATTAATAACCCCTCATATGTCTGCCTTTTTTTTCAGAAACTGCTCCACTGCAGTAACAGGAAATGACATAGAAAATAAATAATAGAAAGCACTCACTTGTCCCCAGTCTCAGGCCTGATCATCATCTGTGGCAAAATGTTAAAATCTGGAGCGCTCAGATCTACTCGGATGTAAGCGGCCTGAAAATCTTCCCATAAGATCTGGAGTTTTGTTTACTTTCGGGGCTTCTGGGACCACTGAAGGACCCCCGAGAGGATCTCTAATAAAAACCTCTGAACCGCAGATATTCCAGTCAAAGGAAGTGCACAGTTTATAAAAGCTCCAGCTGAAAAGAAAAGCAGACGACGGAGAGGTTCCTTTGATTTTTCTTTATTTCTTTCTTTCAATAGATTTTACACTATCTTGCTGGAACCAAAGAAACATTTTGACTATAGAAACATAAAATAGCACAAAATATATGCAAAAGAATACATTTAAAAATGATTACACTGAAACTATAAATCCGATGAGGGCGGGGGGGTCTTCTAGTCAATTTGTCTTCATGTCTTTACTTTTGTTGGGAAGGTAAACTGCAACAGTCACACTCCACCACCTGCAGTCTCCGGAGCAGCGCCCTCTGCTGGCTAAAGCTCGAACGCTTCCATTGTAAGGCAATGGGGACGAGAAGATGTCAGACTTGGGAGACCAGAAGACCAAAGTGACTGTTCGCTCTGTTGCAGTCACCCCCATGTTTGTTTAGTTTTGTTTTTGGCCTTGTGACGCACAAACCTTAAAAAATGATTCTCCGATATAAAGGTACACATCTGAAACGAAACTCCGAAGGGATTTGAGAAGAGAGACCCGGTGGGAGTCCCTTGAATAAATTTCATAAGAGCTCTTAAAAACATAAAACCTTAAGCACGATGGACTCAAGATAAGGCAAAGTGTTTGGATAAGCTGAGTCTGCTCAGTTGACCAACTGCTCAGAAAGTGCTTTTTTTTTCTTTTTACCATCACTGCCAACACATTTAGAAAAAAAAAAAAGAAAAAAAACATTACATCTCAAGAGGATTCCATACACAAGGGCATTGTGGGTCACCAAATGAGCACATTTTTGTGTACAGACATTGTTTTTTTTCCACTAGAAACATTCAGTATCATTTAGTAAGAAAAGAAAATATTGTTTTCCCATGCAAAAATGTTGAATTAATCGCCGGTAGGATCTGCTTTTTGATTGATGAACAGATTACAGGGTGCAGAGATTGGAAACCCTTAAAGGAAATAAAAAAAAAAAGAACAGATCACATCTTTAAACAATATGAAAGTGCAATCCTAAAGTCTAGTGATACATACGCCTCAAATAAAAGTGTGGAACCTAGAGGTCCTTTGTCGGGGGAAGAGTTGTACATCTGAACTTATTAATTTATAGATTATTTAGTTCTTATATATATATATATATATATTTATATGCAATCTATGTAACATTGATGACTTTAAATCTATAAGTGTTACAGTCACAGCGCTATACAGGCTGTTATTTGCTAATGAAAATATTAGGTCATTGTCGTAATCTCAGTGAAGAATAAGAAATGTTTGTATCTTCTTTACAATCTACCTTGTGTACAGTGTTCTAGCAAAAAAAAGGAACAAAAAAAAAAATCAACTTAACAATGTCATTTACAAAAATACCGAACTTTAGTAATTGCAACATTTGGTTGCCACAGCAACAACTTAATATTGTTATGAAATACTATTATACTAGAGTGAAAAGTACATCTTTTTTGAAATTTTCTTTGCTTTTTTTGGTAAAATGTCATCTATACAATAAACATTTTTGTTTTTTTTCTCCAACAACACAAGCAACTCTATAACTATGCTCATTACTGCAACACCCGTGATCTTTTTTTTTTTTTTTTACATTTTATTTTATTTTTTTAAATCAATGAGAAGGCAAGAGAGATCCAGTAGCTTTCCATTGGCGGGTCGACTTTTTAAAACCCCGCCCCTCAGACGTGTGCGGCTTCTCATTCGCTGACCTGACAGGTTAGACCTTGAAATGACCAACCGTGCAGAATGTAGCACAGCTCAATAAATTACATTCATTTCAAAATAGAATAGTTTACAACATTGTTTTGTTTTTTTTTGGTTTGGTTTGGTTTTTTTGACTAAAGTTTGACCAAGAGTAACGTAAGATAAATTACAACAAAATAGAACTTTCACCACCTTCCACGAATATTACACACATGTGAGGACAATCAAAGTGGATGAAACCGAAAGAAAAAAAACATATGATTGTGGATTGTCGATGTTAATCAAGCACCATGAAATTACATCAGGGTTTTGGGAGGAAATAAAAAGTAGTGTTACGAGTTAAAACACGCTGCTAAAAAAAAAATAAAAGAGGGTTAAATTAAAATTTTATATGATGTTGGCTGAGAAACAAATGATTGTTCCAGGAGGTGGAGGTGGTGGTGGTGGTGGAGGGTTTAGGGGGTAGGGGGTCCAAACATACCTTGATAGTAGACACAACACAAATTTTTTTAAATAACTTTGAATACATTTCTAGAACCATGAATATAAACTCTCAAAATAAGAGACACTTTTACATACATTACACAGTTTTACAATACATTTGTTTTTTTTTTAATCCTCACGTTCCTCATGTAAACTACTCAACCCATGGTAAGAAACGATGGTACACCGTGAAAGTCACCAAACATTCTACAAAGCTAGTTTTTTTGATTTGTCTTGAATTTTCTTTTTAAAGTCACTTGTGATGTTAATGAGCCGTTTGCTAGAAAACTGCTTCCAAAATGTCTCTTTTTTTTGTTTTTTTTCTCCCCCAGAAAAAACGAGTCTGTGTGGCTTCTGACGGCCGGTGTGTGGTTGTGACTTCTTCTTTTTTTTTTTTTTTAGTGATACACTCTCGGATGTGTTGTTGTTGTTGATGAGCATTTTTTAGGCACTTCTACAGTTTTCTAAAATGGAACAGGATTATCGGTGATAGTAGGGTTGGACAGGACAACCGACGGTCACAGATAGCCCTCCAGTCGAAGTTCAAGTCATCTTTTTGCTTGACGGGTGTCGTCAAATGCACCGTTTTTTTTTGTTTGTTTTTTTTTCCAGTTTTTTTATTTTTTTATTTGTTAAGTCTTAGCACTTAAATCCCTCCCCGCCATCCCCCCCTCCCCCAAGAGAGAAAAACTCTCCTACCAGGCCTGGTGTCGCCATCACCTGCTAGACCTCGCTTCAAGTCCCAGTCTGCCGGCAGACCATCAGTCTCCAGATACGAACACACACACACGCACACACACACACAAGGCTTGGTATGTCTGGAACAAACCCTCAAGCTTTGTTGAGCCCTTGGCACAGAGCCGAGCCTTTAGGCTTCTCGGTAATGGCCACGACTATCTTCTGTCAACACCGTCTTCCCCTGTCCCGACTGCATGCAACGCAAAAAAAAAAAAAAAGAAAATCCGTGCACAATCTATCCCTGCTGACGTGAACCCAGCAGCACAACAAATAAAGGGCGAGTGGGTCGTATTGGTGGGAAACGTATAGAGAAAAACAACAAAAACAAACATTTGGGAGGGTGTTTAAAATCTGCTTTCTGGCAGGTTGATTCCGCCGACTTCTTCCAAGCCGCGACTTTGGCAAGATGTTTCCGGAGATGAAAAGTTGGCAGGAGGAGGAGGAGGAAGGAGGATAAGCTTCAACATGGCATCTTAACAGCATCTGGGGCAGATGAGGGTCACGGAGGAACCCTCGCAGGGACAGTCGCATTAAGAAAACATGAGCCTGTCTGCCCCAAGGACATTCAACTTTGTAGAGAGAGAGAGGGGAAAAAGAAAAACGCAAAAGACCGCAAACCCTCCTGAAAGCGCCGAGTGCGTAGGTGTGGTTGTGCCTGGGTTTTCTGTGACTCTTCCGGTTTTTTGGACACTATACGTCTCATATAGTGCAAATCACACAAGATTTTCTTTGAACCGAAGGGGATGAACATTGTGCAGAGGTTTTTTAGAATAAATATGCAAGAGAGAGAACGGAGAGAGGGGGGTCCATGGTATTCTGGGAGAACAGTTGTTAAAATGACCTCTATAGTGTGTCTGCTATGTATGTACTATACATAAGAGTATTTTTTCATGTTAATAGTTTTGTTTTTTTTCTAGCAATACATACAGTATATATCTTTTTTTTGTTGTTTTGTTTTCTGTGTGTGTTACACCGGCACTGCAGTTCTTACGGTTAAATTGAAGTGTTACACTCTTAGCATGCAGGTTGCTGGACCTCTATGGGAGAGGTAAGGTAGTATTTACAGAGGGGCTGTTTTGGGTTTCCTAGTGCAGCTTCGTGACACTCCGTTCCTTTCCTGACGCTTACTTCAGGATGATCTGGAACACAGAAAGTATAAAAAAAAAGGAGAGGACATTTTTAGTTTACCTGTAGGGGAGAAACTTTCTTTATCTAGTCACAGACAAGGGAACAAATTCTGCATCGATACGGTGGAACTCATTTTGATTATTAAACATACATATAGAAGATGATGTTTGGGGTCTTGTAAACATTTGAAAACAATATTTTCCTCATTAAAGCCTCAGTATGCTTCAAACAAAGTGCCTCCTTCACATCTTTCCAAAACAGACAATCTGACTTTTCCACCCACCTGATTGGCCACAAGGTGTCAAAACAGGCAAACTTTTCTTAGAGCGATCGCAAACATACACTTTGGCTACATCCACACTAATGTGCTTTTAAATTAAAAGGAAAATGATCTCAGTCCAGATGAGTCTTGTAGCTGTTTCAGACCTACTCTGGATCACGATGCAGGGTTTTGTCTGTTTAGAATATAATAGAAAAAACAGCAAAGACATTTTCTTAACTGCACAGCTGCGAGCGACAACGTGAGCACCGCCTGCTGACTAATTCATTATCTATATTAAATTAGCCACTGGTAGTCAGTGTGTCTGTGCTCCTCTGGAAATGTGATGACGTGATGAATCGGGGGTAAATGTCAGACGTAATGAGGCCCAATCAGACGGTTTCTGCGTCATCAAACCCAATCTTCACCCTGAAGGTAGAGGACCAAACCCTGGAACACGTCACAGCTGTGGTGTGTCACTACATGAGGGCTCAAAGTGGTGTAAGAAGGAGGAGGAAGGGGGACGCGTTGCTTGGAAGTGAACTTTGAGTTTGATCAGCTGCTCAATTTGTGACATTACAGTGCAAACTACCAAGAGAACCAAAGTCTGTGAGCATCGGTAAATCTGATGTTTGACTGAAAATGTTAAACGTGTAATAAATAACAAGAACAGAGTGCAGCCAGTTACCTTCCCTACACCATCCATCTTTGGTTTGTCTACATTTCCTGGAGGGCAGGACGACTGTTTATATGCCACATATTTTTGCAAAGAACTACGAGAAAATCTGTGGGGAAAGTGTGCAGATATGTGGACTCACAGAACGGGCACAAAATAGCGTCGAAAAGTCTCTGTGGGACATCTGAGTCCTTGCAGGAATCAAAAGTCTATGAGTGTGGAGACGAGTAGTCACAGTTTTTAAAAATCTCACATTTCGAGGTCCTAAGCTTTTGGAGTAGCATGGATGCTAAATGTAGCACAAGCGCTACATATTAGTGTGGATGTAGCCTTTGTTTGCACTGGTCAAAATAACATTACTGCATGTATCTGGAGCAGGATAAAGAAAACATAGACAGGACTCTCAGTGCAGATATTCCCAAAGCTGCACCAGCACCTGGATGAAGCACCTTTGCTTTCAACAACCGAGTGTCTCTGAAGCACACTGAGACCTTAAGGCAGCAGTCAAGTGGAGTTTTACCACCACAACAAAAAAAACAAAATCCTGGAAAGGTCAGGCCAACACAGATATATATTTGTCACTGAGCAGTATTTTTCTGCCTTCGTCGTTGAGTTGTGGTGACGCCACCTGCCTGGTGTTTTCATGCAGATAAGACCGAAACCTTCCGACTATTCGCAAACAGCTTTTGACCCTGTTCTGGTCACCTCTGTGTGTATTCTCTCTTTAGGAGATAAAGACTAATCCACCACACAACAAAGCCAGAGAGAGAGAAGAAGAGGAAGTGAGACAGAGATTGCCTATTGAGGGTGGTGAGGGAGGACAGGTAGAAGAGCTGCTGGCTGCCATCGTGTGGGCGCCGCTGGCAGCGAGCCAACGCAGAACAAAGCCGCACGCTGCTTGTTAATAGACAATGGACGGCCAGCAAAGGATGGAAGCCACTGGTCACATCGCACATCACAGAAGGTCACCACAGTGGGAGAGCGTGTGATGTGCACGGGCTGAGAGGAAGAGCCCGCTCCACGGCGCGGTGCAGGATGGAAATAGGGAAATATTTCAGGGTGCCAGATGGGTGGGATTAACTAGAGAGGACGGTACAAACAAACGCTGAGAATTGTTTGCAGGTCCTGTTTGCCAAAGATTTGGTGCAGTGATACGAGCAGCATGTTTCAGCCCAGAAGACAGCACCTGTCACAGTCTGGTGTGGCTAAGTGTGTGTTACACAATCATGGCGGAGGTTTGAAGTGTTGTCGCTTCTTCTTTTTTTTTTTCAGATTACTATCAGATAATTATTATAATTGCATGAGATCTTAGTGTCCTCGTCTGTTAATTCAATAACAGCGATAAGAATAATGGCAGGTTCCCTCCACAGGGAGGTCAGACACTGAACTCTGGTCGTGTAGCTGAAGAGCTGCTCAGCGATATAACAATCTGTAATTATGCTTGAGTATCGACTTATTTTCCCATCAGTTCACTCACTGAAGTGATCGCCTACAGTTTCTAACTCAATGCAACATTACGACAGTAGAGGGCGCTGCAGCTTCACAATCTCCAGCTAAATGCACTGACGTTACCAGGCTCCAGCAATGGCAGCACATGGTTAATATGTGCTGGGGCATGGAAGGACGTGATTGGCTACTGCTTATCATGTCACATAAATGGTTCACAGGGTCACGAGTTGACCAGACTCTGAACCTCTCAGCATGTCTGCAACCCTGTGGCCTCACATGGGCGTGTACTAGTTGTCATGTTTCATCTAAAAACACAGATTCCTACTGAAAGATGTCATTCAGCAAAGGCATCGTTTCTAAAATCACAACGCTCAATTAATTATCCAGTTCTGCTCAGGATTTAAGTTGAAGAAGCATCTTGGTTATCAAGGAGATGCTAAAAGCTAACGCCAGGCAGCTAGCATTAGTACAAAGTCAGGATTGTTTGGGACTGTTTTCAGCAAAAACAGTGACGTCAGCGGCATGTGCTCTTAAAAAAATAGTCTGGGTGTGTATTCTGAAAAAGCACAAGATCAGGATGACTGTAGTAAACAAGGCGTGTACTGTATGCAGCACAGCTGATGGTTATAAGTGTTAACTGTGTCCTAGCTGGAGAAATCTGTGTGTAGGGTGGAGAGGAGGGGAGAGAAAGACTGGGGGACAGACGGAGACAGACAGCGAAGGCTGACGTCAGTGTTTCTCCGGCTCCTTGTCCCACATGCATCTTTAAAGAGCAGCTCTGCTTCCTGCTGCTACTGCTGCTGCATGCCAATTACAGGAGGAGACGGTGACTCACGGGAAGTGCACACACTGCTGGCCTATCAGGGGCAATAAAGCACAAAGTACTGGGACCAGATCCTCGCTAAATGATGGACGAGGGGATCTTGGACAAATCATTCATTTTTTTTTATTTTGAAAATGAAAATGAGTTCATGAACAGAGAGTCCTTGTTGTAATTTTTCAGATTCAGACGGGATCAGGACGCTGTTTGTAAAGGTAATCCTAAATTGGTAAAAAGAACTGATCATCATATTCTCTCTGTATACTGAGGCACGAAGACAAAAGAAAAAAAAGACGAGCAGTGAGAAGAAGTAGTACAGACACAGATGGAAAATTAGGATATTGATCCCTACTGCTGCTATGAGAGTAATTTTACACTACACATTTATTTTAAGGAAACGCACACAAAGAGATATTAATAGCGCGCTGAAGTTTTTCCTAAATTCAGACCGTATCTACGCCCTGCGGTGGAAACTTTTGCACTCCCTAAAAAATGGCACGATTGTTTTCCAGTTGCATTTCTACTTATGGAACACTTCTCATCTGTGTGTCCTTAAGATACCTCTGTACAGAACTACCAGTAAATGATTACCAGCTGTGTGAGGCCAGAGTGCCAGCATTGTGCTAAAATTTCCAGGTTTAAAATGGGGCACACATGCGTCACTCTGGCATTCAAACCTGGCCCTGCTTCCTTGGCTCCTGCTGACACGCAGCAACAGGAGAGCCGCCGATCAGAGGCCATATTTAGACAGCTTCTGTGATCATTTCTCCTATGTCTGTCTCCCTCTGACAAGCATAGCCTAGAACTGTTTCCTCGCTTGATTTATCCTCCCTTTTATCCTGCAACCAGGAAAAAGGTAAAAAGGTGAAACTGGGAGAAGTGGAAACAGGAAGAAAGATCCAACATAGCGGCTGTTATGAACCGGCTGTTAAGTGCCTGTATGTATTTGCTCGGATGTGTGTGTTTGCGTAGCACACAAGCAGTACAGATGATGCCCCTACTGCAGATGGAGAGGCTTATTCGACAACAACGAGAAAAAAGTGGAAAATAAAACTTGAAACAGAACATGCAAAAACAAAACCAGGAAGTAGTGCAACACAACACAACTACTACTTGCAAATGTGGGAGCTCTGAAGAAGTGCTTGTCGGGATGGATTTGTTTTTTTAGCGATGCCACTGCACTGGCACCGGCTTGCTCAGGTAGCCCCCTTTTGCTTTAGGCTCGCTGGATAACGCCCACTCACAGGCTTTTTCATGCCAGCGTGAGCTCGCCCTGTGCAGCGGCGTGGATGGATGGGGAGGGGCTGGGTGTGGGCTAAGGCTCAGCTGCAGGTTATTGCAGCTCACTATTAGAAGGCAGTACTTATTCAGAGCTCCAGGGACTGATGAAAGAAAGCTTTAAAAGGAGCAAACCTGATTGGCTGGTGCTGTTGCTGCGTAGGGGACACTTGTGGCAGGAGTTGTTGCTGCAGAGACAGTAGCAGGCGTAGCACTGTACATCATTGGGACTTTGTTTTGAGGGTAGGAAAGGGGAGAGGGAAGGAGGAGGAATGGGGAGGGAGGGCGGGGGGGAAGAGGGAAGGAGGTGGTAGCGATGGACAGGTAGGTGGAGCATTATGGTAACCATGGTAACAGTCGTGGTGTTTGTGTGCGTGTCGACGGTATCGATTATTGTTGTTGTTGTTGTTGATGTTGTTGATGGTGGTGGTGGTGGTGGTGGTGGTTGGTGGCGGATGTTACAGAGAGCCAGCAAGCCATCGTTAGGGTTACACCGGCAGATGGCATGCAACCATTCACAATGCAAAGCAAGGAGGACAGAAAGAAAGAAAGAAAGAAAGAAAAAAAGAGAGCATGGGAGAAAAATAACAAAACAAAACAAAAAAAAAAAAACAAGAGGAGAGAAGCTGATTACAATCACAAGTAAGGAAATTTATACGGAAAATCAGTTTGCTGTTTTTCCCAGAGAAGTTAAGTGGCACAAAACACCAATTACGATGAATCAATGACATTTTTGGCAGCAGGGATGGGAATTTGGAGGTTTTTTTTTAATCCATGTGAGCTGCAGGGGGGAGATGCCAAAAACCCAGGCGGCTACTTTATGCCAAAAACATGCAGTTCTGGTGGGTTGGTTGTAAAAAAATTTCTTTATAAATCATTATTTATAGTCACCGCTTTATTCGTTTATGTTGGACCTGCCGATTAGCCGACTGAGCCTTTTTTTGTTTTTTTTTTCTTTGCAATTCCCATCCCCTTTTTGGCAGAGACAAGTGCTCCAGTTGTGTGTAATTTCTCTGGGAAACTGATTTAAATTTCCTGATCAACACAGCACAGCAAACAGACAGAAGCTATCCTACAGCTTAAGAACAGATCAGTCTGCAGTACTTTATCCACATTAATCATAAACAAACAGTCATTAGCACGACAGTCAGTCAGTCAGTAGGGAAACAAGAGTCACAACTCTTTCAGGTGATACAAAATGGACATTCAAAGTGTGATTCATCATCATCATCATCATTATATCACAGCCTAAAGAAATGCATAGCTTGACGAAAGAGCACATTTTTAAAAGGTTTCATCATCACCGCCACAGAAGCAGTGACATTTTGTCTCACCTGCAAGGGCTGCAGATTTTGCCCACTCATCCCACACCCAACCTCCCCCCCTCAAAAAAAAAACACTAAATCAAGACAGTGTGTGTGAGAGAGCAATGGGAAGGTCAGGACCTACCAAGACTGCTAGCAGGAGTCATGCACAAGACTGACCCTGTTGTGTTCATGCAGAGAAAGACAGAGAGAGAAGGAGGGAGACAGAGAGGGAGAGAAGGAAATAAATGGGTTAATCGAGAGGGAGGAGAACAACAAGGTTAGACAAGACAAAAAAAAAAAAAAGCTTTACTCAGTGTCGGCTAATTGTGATGGAAGCAAGCGGAGGAATTCACTTATTAGTGAGGAAATATTTATTTACATACAGCTGCAGAACACAAAGCAAACTCATATATAACATAAATGGCCACGTTGCTAAGTTGCAAAGCAGATTCTACGGTTTACCGGTTGCTATTTGCAGATGTGAAGGACAGAATTGACGAAAAAAATCTGGTATGTATTAGCACGTATTAGCATATAATAGCCGCTTTATTTACTTTAAACCGTCTGCCTGCTTCTCCGTCTTTATCGAGTCTTTTTAAAGGTTAGAGGGTATTGATTTTTGTACAAACTATAGAGCCCTCTGGTACACATTTATAAATAAAATTGCAAAGGCCTTACGAGTAAAAATTGGCTTGATGTCTTAGATCAAGCCTTTTATAAAGTTGCTGCACGCTTCAACTAATCCACAAGTTTTTCACACTTGATTGGACATTTCTGTGCATCTACAGCACTTTCTCGTAAATTTGAAGTCGTTCTGTGGAAAAAAAATCCTGCAGTTCAAAAGCTGCTTTAACGAATATGATCTAAGCAAACTGAGGAAAAATAATCATACAAAATTTTGAGTAGAAGAAACTAACGATAGAGTGAGGGAAGCCAAAACAGCAGCATCATGCAGTGTCAGTACAATGATGTGCACAGGCTTCCATCCAGATCTGGATCAAATAACGATGGGTAGGGTTTACTGCATCAGAACCTCGCACAGATATCACGATAAATCCAAATATTTCCTCAGTCTTTTGCAACATGAAGTAACCCTACCCATCTGAAATTTAACAGATTAGTAAAAAATAAAAAGATCTGCACACATGACTTTGACCCAGGGCTACTTCCCACACACAGATACAGAGGGAGGGAGGGATGAAGGGCCGTCAGGCATCTCAAACCAAGGGAGACAAAAAGAGCAGGTAGTAAGGAGAGCGAGGGGTAGCAGTCTTATCCTCATGACTCATGAGTGTGGCTACAGGCTTCCGTATTAGCTGCAGTTAACTCACTTAGCGGGTGACCCGAGGGCCCTTAAGCTACTGTTAGTTTCTGTGTGACAAGCAGACAGTGAGAGTGTTTTGTTGTGGGGAAAGAACTGAAGAGGAATGATGGAGCAGACCTGAATTAATTTGGGAGAATCGAGAGAAAATTTCTTTCTTAAATTTTTTTAATACGAGCATCTGTCAAGGCAGATTAAATACAAACCGAAAATGTGAAAACGCATATTCTCTTATATTGTTTTGTCCTTCAAAGTGGGGCTTAACCAGAGCGTTTGTGTTGGAAACACTCGAGCTTCTTGGCATTAGACTGGCTGGTGCATCATATTTATGTGGTAATATATCATATCTTTTATTGCTCCGATCAAAGCCTGCGCTGCTTTTCCACCTGGCAGCAATTACATGTTTATATTAGCAGGCACCAGATCAAGGTTTAGGGATGGCACGGGGAATAGTAAAAACGCTAGCACACAAAAACCATAGTGGAGCTTTTTATGTGCATCACTCAAATTCATCTATTTCAAACAGAAATGTGAGAGCGAACAGATGTAAATAATCACGGGAGACTGTCTCTTTCAACATGTAAAACTCCAAAATGCTAAGTTTATGGTAGATACAGGGATAGCCGAGCACATCCAGGGGTTTGTCTGTGTGTTTGCGTGCATGCTCCGCAGACCTGCTTCTACCTGCGCGTGTGTGTGTGTGCATCGATCGGGAGCTCTTACCTGTGGGAAAGAAAGCGGGCTGCTGGAGCTGTGCGTTGGCCAGCGCCTGCTGGTAGTGCAAAACACTGGGGTTGAACAGGGAGCTCGCTCCGTTGCTCTTCTCAAGTGCTGGTCTCTTTGGTAGGGGCTGGAGGACGCCGTGGGGAAACGCCTAGCCACCGAAAACACACACACGTACGCGCACGCACACACACACACAAACACACAACAGAAGCACAGTAGATTTGAACTGTATACTTACACAAGCCAACACTAATATTGTCTACATCTGTTAATCGTCTATGCACAGCACAACAAGGCAAAAATGGAAACTTGCTGTAACTATCACAAGGACAATGAGAAACTACACCGTAGCAAGGCAATCATCAACAACACATTAAAGAAAGTAGTGTGGAATTACTTTAACATTACGTTGTTCAGGTAATCAATGTACAATACAAACTAGAGTTGCCACTTGGTGATCATAAATGATAAATAATTATACATTTAAGTGTCTTACAGGGTTTCACAAAAACAAAAGAGCCAAATTAAATTTTGTGAGTGGCTACAGTACAATTAAAGAAGCTACATGCAAAGCAAAAGGTGAAAGGTCAAAGTACCAGGTCTACAGTTGCCTCGAGGGGTCGCTTCATTGCTTTGGCAGTCGACTGAGTCTTTAATTAGCAGGCAGCGAGCACATGATGGCAGTGGGCCAATGGGATTCAAGCGTATTAACATACAGGTAACAGCAAGCAGAGGTGCGTCATGGGGGACAGCATTGCATTGTGGATAGGTGAGAAGGAAAAAAACAAAAACAAAAATAATCTGAATGCAAGTATACCACATACAAAACAATAGGCATGCACATAAACAAAAATTTGTTTTGTTTACTTTAAAGAAACATTGCTACTTTTTTGAATTAGTACAAAAGCAAAAAAGCCTCTACATTAACCTTTGGTTAAAAAAGCAAGAGTCTATGATGTACTTCAAAACTACTGGGAAAGCATTTAGTAGTAACATCAACTATTTCTGAACAAGTAACTTTGAAAATAGCTACGCATGAACAAAAAGCAGTATGGTAAACACAACTGATTCAGACTAGAAATACTGGGCTGACACTTTATGTGAGGTCTGTACAGAGGTTTTCTACAGTTTCCAAAGTACGATACTACACACACAATAGTTACAGTGCTCCTGGAGTACTCTACGGTCGACGATGTGAGGTGGTTTTGGGCCTGAGAAACGTCCAAAACATGAACAACAGATTGGGATGTGAGTGAGATCCAATCAAAGCCCCTTAAGTTAGTCAAACTCTGCCCTCACAACTGGCAGCGAGAACTGGGCACGTTTGAGATTTTAAACTACACATTAGCACAATTACAAGCGAGGCTGTTGAAGTGCTGTCTCCATTGTGGCAGCTACAATAATTAGTGCTAACAATCCTGACAAAAAGTAGCTCAACAATCACATCCTTTTCTGCAGTGTTGTTGCAAAGTCTCAGACTGAATCGTAAGGACATGTGGCTTGTTAGTGTGATCAATGAACTTGGGGAGGTGGTACGATGTGAGGCAAAGTTACAGTTTGATAACAGAATGTGGAGCTCTGTTTATTCTTAAACTCCTCCGGATTATATCCAAAAAAATCTAGTAGAAGTCACAGCACAGCTTTATCTAATATTAGTTGGACGCTAACCTAAGAAGGACAAATAATTTAAAGTTATTCCTTCTGTTAATTGATTAAAAATGTCCTGATGTTTGATGTCACTGCTGAGAAGAAGAAAAAAAAAAAGATGACATGGATGTGATGATCACAGCACTTTAAAAAGGTCCATGCACAAGCCTCTTGCTTCATGTATGTGGATTTTCTAATAGTGCGGAACAGTATAGATCCTATTAAAGAGCAACAATGCATTGCTGATGCACTGCAGTGTTAACAGACTTAAACAGTATGGTTAGTTCAAATGGAAGATGGTCTAATAAAGTGGCATGAAAAGCAAAGATGACTGCATTCGACTAGCGATGAGGAAGAAGATCACAGCGTGGCAAAGCAACATAATGTGGCACAGTAAAACAACATAACCTCAGTGAAAGGATCTTCTTACTGTAACCGTATCAGTTAATGTGCAACCTTATCTACAGTACACTTTATTCTATTTGCTTTTTAAAAAAGTGAATTATGGATAATGATATTACCTATTTGCAGCAGTGCAGCAATACAGGTTTTATGGGACTCTGCTTCAATAAAAGGGCTAAAAGAAAATTGGATTAAAGGTGCTGACTAAACAAGTCGTTGTCCTAAGGTTAACCCTCTTCACCTCTTGCACAGATTGTAACCGCTGAAGGTAATTTGGGAATTGGGTCATAAAGTTGATAAACTGTGAGGAACACAGGAGGAGAACCGAGGAAAGGGCTGCGAGGAGAATACAGTAGGAACATAAACTAAATCTTTTTGTTTGACAAAGCATTGTGTACCTGACGGGGGAAGTGGTTGCGCTAAGGTACACGCTGTACCTTTAAGAAAACAGCACTGTCAGGTCAACATCAAGTTATAGTGCCTCGGGGTCTCAGGCTCTCTTTTATTTATACGCCTGTTTAATTCGTTGCTGTTTTCCTTCTTTCATGCGGCTGCGAGCACGTGCGCAAACAAAAAAACTAACCTGCGCTCACACAGTCATCTTATCGAGGAAGAGAGAGGGAGAGCAAGCAGCGATGGAGCCAGCCAATGAGAGGTAGGTGCAACGCATAAAGCATGCCCATGCCATGGAGGAAAAAAAAAAAAAAGTCAGTCAGCACACTGGCGCAGTAAAAAGGTGTGCGAGTGCAGTAGCCAAAGGACCATTCAAAAGAAGCCACTCAGAGCCTGGGGGGGGGGAAGGAGGGAGGTGAGAGAGAAGACGGGGGGGAAACAGCCAAGACACAAACTCTTCTAACCGTCTGTCTGCCTGAGTTTCCACCTGTCTGTCCACCTTTCTGCCTCCTCCTCAGCTTGTTGGGGGGATTTTTCCAACTAAAGGCAGAGGAAGGTAATCCCCTCCCCTCCACCTCACCCACCTACCCACCCACCCACGATGCTACATCCTCATCCATCCCAGATTCAATTTACACTGATCTGCAGAGAACCGCACTTATCATTGAGAGCAGCGGTGTGGGATGGGGTGGGGGGAGGTGGGGAGGGGTGAGCCGACATATTGTCTCTGTATGAACCAAGGGCATTGGAAAATAAAAGAGGACTGCAGAGAGATAATAACAGATTGTTCTTGCGGCGTTATACTGATGTGTTTAGGTCTCACTAAACCCTGCTTATTGTATACAACGGCCTCTCTTTGGGAAGACTATTGTTAGTGAATTGTACACTGGAGTTCACTGGAATAAACCGGCAGAGGTGAGTATGTTTTTGTACAGTAATAAAGCAGTGCTCCACATTTTATGTTACTGTAGGTGTCACGGTCAGCAAAATGTGCTCAAATGGTGTGTAAGTCAAGATGAGTTGCAATAATGTGTATTCACTGAGCCTATACGTGCATAGTGATCTCAAAAAAAACTACTTACAGTGTTTCCAAAAACAGAAATTGCTATTGTTGGGTGTGCTTTTGTATACAGTCAGCAGCTTTCTACCTGAACCCCAGCGCTCGTATGCGTTTGATTTAGAGTGTGAATGTGACTGCGTATATTATGTTTACTTGCTCTTCCAACCTCTCCACCATAAAAACTCCAATAATCATTTGTATATTTGATGCTTCAGTAATAGAAGAAAGATCAAACTCTTCCATGATATCACAATAAAAGCTCCTGCGTAAAGGTTATTGTCACATTCAGACCTTACAAGCTCTTTCTCTATAAGCATTCGAAAGAAGTAGGGAAATTTGCTCACAAAATACAAAGTGTGTGTTTCCTTCTCTATCACTGTGTAGTCACGAGACACACTGTAGGTGGGCTGTAGTGCTGAAGCGCTCACCATGGCTGCAGCTGTGGCGGCGGCTTGTGCAGCCACAGCTGTCTGGTTGGCCTGGTGTTGGGCGGCCTTAATCTTGGCCTGCAGGTGGGCCGGGGGGTGGAAGTACTTGCACTTCTCGCGCGAGCAGCGGCTCTTGATGTAGTCCATGCAGACGGTGACCGTGTTGTCGCTGGTGTCGATCATGGGGCTGTCGCTGGGGTGGGCGAAGCGGCAGTCCGTCTCGCCGCGGGCGCAGTTGCCCCGCTGGAACTCGCGGCAAACCTGGGAGCAGGAGAGTTACGTGGACGGACACGCAGAGACGGACGCACGGAGAGGAAGCAAAGAAATACACAGAGACACACGCAAACTGTGAATACATGTCAGGAAACAAAACTAGCAGAATCACATAAAGTATTCATTGCATTAGCTGGATCCAGGTCCTATTATTTCTCATCATCCTCTTACTGAAGTCAGTCAGCCAGCGAGGTGACTCAGGCAGACGTCAAAACCTTGATGATGTTATTAAATATTTTGAAAGTTTTTGACATTTTGTTATCGGACTGTTTTGACAATGAGAACTTTGACATGTATTTTAATGCTGCACGATGGGGCCGAGTCCTTTTCACACAAATACAGTAACGCATATAGGAAGTCTGGCAGGCAGTCTGGAACTGACAAGATAATGCGCAACACTTCTATAACTGAGGAGACAGTTCATTTTCTGCTATGTTCTTGTGCTTGAATACCTGAACAATAAAAAATAGAAAAGATTAAATCACGCTGCTGCTCTTCAGGTGATGTGTGTCAAGCATGAGAGCGACTTACAGATAACACATATTAGAAACAATCAGTGAAACACTTCATAGACCACTGCCATGGTTATTAGTACATTATGATTAAAACTAATGATGATTCTGCCCGAGCTTCTTTCTACAGGAGTGTTGGGAAAGAAAACAATTAGCCACAACATTAAAACCCCTGACAGTTAAAGTGAAGGACATCGATCATCTCGTTACATGTAATGATCTGCTGGGAAAGCTGGTGTCCCGGCATTCATGTGGGTGTTGACATGCACCGCACACCTCAACATTGGTGCAGACTAAGCACCTCCAGCTTGAGGAACATGACAAAAAGCTGCCTTCTGAATCCACAGAAAAGCCCACCGGAGCTGAGTGGGACCCACACAATATTAGGCAAGCAGTTTTAATGTTGTGGGAAAACAAACTGCATGACATTAAAAGCAAGCAAAAGCAGGAAAAAACTACTCAAACTGTTTATTCTACTGCAGATCTTTACTGGAAAAACTGACATCTGTGAAACGTTCAAGTGCATACAAAAGGCAGCACATATATCTATTTAATGGACTAGAAATGAGTTTTGGACTCGGTGTGAAAAGGGCTCAGCAAAATGTAACACAACCGCAAAGTGGGACAAACCCAAATGATTGTGGAATCACTGAACCGATCAGTGTTGGACTGTTCAGAGGCCTGGGCCGAATCACAGGGGGATCTGCTTTTGACTTTCACTCTGGGACTCACACACACTCGCACGCACATGCAGAAACACACACATTTAGACTCAACAATAAAGCACACATGCACATATGCAAAAACCTGCAGCACACAAACACACACACACGTACACGTGCGCACACACATGATGGCTTTGTGTGGGAGTGTATAAGTGTCTCAGAGGGATACTGTTTCATTAGAGGCTGCTTCATTCAGTTGCTAAGTGATAGCACTCCTGCAGAAAAACACATACAGGCACACACCTACGCATCACCTCCAGGTCTTAGGGAGATTATTGTTTATCTTTATAAATGTAGTGGAAAAAAAAAAAAAAAAGAACTCCTCCTCATGCACTCTTTCACAATCACCGAGCTATTCTCATTCAGAGCTGTTTGCCAGGGGGGCAGACGGAGATGGTTGAAGTTGTTGTAACTGTCCCAGTCTAACTGTGGCTGTCTGGCAAGTAGCAGTTTGGGTTGAGCAAATTCCAATTTAAATCACTGTAATCACACTATCGCATTTGTTCGCATCATGTCTCTGACACAAGCCTTAATTATTTCTGCAAGGGATAGCAGAATCCTGTTCCCTAACTTATGCTGATGTATGGTACTGAGCCTAATAGTGATGTTTAGATTAAAAAATGACTCGAGATCTATTTTTTCTGTGCATTTTAAAGCTTTTATCCCCAAAACTCTGGATATCTTGTGGTATAAAACAGCTACTGCAATTCCAAATTTCACCTTCTTTATTTTTTTTTATAAATTTAAAGAACCATCAGGTGAGATTTAATATTTTTCACATCGTTTTTTTGCTTATTTGGTTTTATTCCAAGGCAACTTCAGGATGTATTTATTCATGTCATTAATTACTTGCTTATTAAACAGAATGCTAAAAACTTGCTTATCATCTCAGGTCCTTGTTTAAGGCTATTTCTACTGTAAGCAGCTGCATTTAAAAAGTTAATTTAAATTCAAATTGAAATCTTATTTAAAGGTTAAAGATGTGTTGTCCTTCTATGGTAAGGCAGCTTTGTTTTTCCTATATAGAAAGTCTTAAGAGACAGTACATTATTTGAACTGCAATAAAACCCAGGTCAGCGGTTGTCCTGCAAATGCTCTGGAGCTATAAAAGATGCTCATCCAATCACTCATCTTATTTACAGCCATCACACCTAATCACATTAACATGCTACCGTAATTATACTTCACGACCTCAAAGAGAACATTAGCCATAATTAGCCGCCATGCTGCTTTTGTTTACAAGCGTGCAAGGACTTTGATTGGTTTGGGTCACCTCCAGTTTGTCAGTACGCAGAAGTTTCTGGTTGGAGGAGGAGCCGGCGGTCACGGAGACGGGCGGGCTGCCGGGGACGATGACGGGGGTGCTGGGCAGGATGTCTGTGGGCACCAGGCTCATGCTGTGGGACATCGGAGTCAGGTAGGGCGTGTAGCTCAGGCCTGTGCTGGAACCGAGGCCCTGGCTGACTGGAAACGTTTGCTGCAGAAGGGAAAGAAAAGTTTGCTGACACTTATGCTTAAATGATGCTGTTGCAGCTTCTCCTGATTAAAACACAGAAGGTCAGATATGTAAAATGATGAATGTAGGGAACGACGGTGGGAAGTGAAGGGTGAAAGGCATTGAAGAAGGTGCAGGGACGGAAAAGTAAGAGACACCAGAGACAAATGAATAGAGGGCGCAGCTGTGCAGAGTGGTGGGTGAGAAAGATGAGAGGGGAGGAAGAGTGGGGGGAGGGAGAGTGTGACAGGTAGAGAGGGAGAGAGCCGAGGGAATAGAGAGGAATAGGTTTGAGAGGAAAAAGTGGGGAGAGGAGGGTAGAAACAAGAGAGGAGTTTGAGGTTTTTTTTTTAACCTCTATGTATCCCGGGAAGATTTTCTGCTGAGCACACATGTTCTTTTGCAGCTACGCCTAGTCTTACATTGATGCAGTTAAACACATTCACACCTGGCAGCTGCCCAGTGCAACCACAGCCTACTGCGCACCGCCGAGCAACTCCCAGAGAGCAGTGGGGCAGTAGTTTTGTGATTTGCAGAAGGGCATTACAACGATAATAATTGGAGGAACAAATTTATGATCTTCCGAGGCAGAGATATAATCTAAAACAGGCAAATCTGAGAGGTTAGATAACAGTAAAGTATCAAATTGGCGGCTGAATAAATGTACTGCGGCAGACTTGGCATATTTTCTCAATGAATCATGCCCTGCCTGTCAGCAGATGCATGAGGGGAAACTTCAGTCAAAATAATCTCTAAAGTAAACCGGTATAAAAACAAGGTATTGTGCAACTGAAAGGTAAACATCAAACATTGCAAAATATGGATTTCAGTGGAAATTATGCAACATGATATGTAAATATGTTTGAACGGGACAAAAGCCAAACTTTTTCCAGCAGAAAGAGTTCACTGGTATTTTCTCAGTGAGTCACGTTGTATCGCCAGTCGGATTCCCACACTAACCACAGGTTGCATGGTGGTGCCGGGGATCATGAACTGCATCTGCTGAGCCAACATGGCGGCCGCTGTCTTCTGCTGGATCAGGTTATTTCGCCCGTTGATCTCCAGCTGGGTCTTCAGGTGAGCGGGCGGGTGGAGGTATTTGCAGTTCTCTCGCGTGCAGCGGCCCTGAGCAGGAAAAACAAAGTGGAGGGGAGAGAGAGGGAGGCAATCCAGGTCATTATCAGTTTGAAAACTTGAAGCCTCTGATCAACAGAATGAAGTGAAAAGCAGTTGTTTTTTTTTTTAAAGATAAACCTGACTGAACAGGTTGAGTGTCAGCCTGGGGATGTGGCAGATATGTGGGCATTGATTTCTAACAGACTCCGAAACATCAAGTGCTTGAAGGCAGCATACATATTCATACTGAGTGAGTGTGAAACATAGAAAATCATGAGGAATGTTTGTGCTTATCTGGTGCGGTAGGAGTTTGCTCTCAGCTCTGAGTAGAAACATTGTTGTGAAAGATGATTACAGGAGTCTGATTTGCTCGCTTGTTAACTCTGGCATGTCTTGGCCATGACTGCACTGTGGACACACTGACTAGCCAGTATTCAAACAAGAAAAAAAAAAAAAAAAGACAGAGGAAGGGCAGTGACATCTTGTCCAGAAGTTTGCGATCACGACCAAATCTCTGCAGCTTTTTGACGGACAGATCGTCCCGTGTTCTCTGTGGAAATGCAAATGCAGGGTTGGCAGGGTCAGGCTTACAGAGACCCTGGTGGATGAAGGCAATTACACTGTCAACCCAGAGGCTAATGGCAAACACAATAATCCAATATGGATCCTCATTGCGGTGCTTATTGCAAGGAGAGTGGGTGGAAGAGAGGAGAGAGGTCAGGAGGGAGCAACAAAGTGAAAGGTAGAATACAGTAGTGGGCACAGAGGCTGCTGGAGCTGTGGGGAAGATGGAAAGTAAAGGTGAGGAGAGGAGTTGTGGAAAAGATGCAGGCAGGGCGGACTGATGTGATTTAGCACCGAGAGGAAAGAGAGGTGATGGGGAAAGGGCCAAGAAGACAAAAGGGGGGGTGACATGACATGGGAAGTCTTGGTGAATGTGAAGGAGGGCAGAGTGGCTGAAGCTATATTAGCATCAGTCTAACATCAGGAGGCCAGCTCCTCTGCTCCTCCACCCCTCGGCTCCCTAACGCAGCACAGCGGCCTGATTAGCAGTATCATACTCGTCATTACTCTAATTTCCTCTTATACGCAGACATGACAGGGCTGCCTGGTGTCCACGCAGTGATTGGTTGTGACTGAGTTTAATTACTCGAGTGCCGTGCTCAAACACTATTTCAAGTCCTGAAACAAACAGAGAGAAATGACAAGAAGCCACCGGGCGAAGCCATGTACAGGATATGTCTGGTGTGCCGTGGCAGTCTGGTGGGTGCAGTGATTTGTATTATATTTGACAGCGTATGAGGACTCCAGCTGAGTGGTGCAGTGATTTGTGAAACTGGCAATGAACCAGAAGAGCCAGCCTCAAGCAGAGCGAAGGATATATTAATAATATATCAATTTCCTGGTATGATTATCATTTTTTTACTTATTCAGCTTGTAGTTTGAGTCGAAACCCAGCGCAAAGTAGCGTGGTGCTACTGTAGTATGCCGAGTTGAAAAGTTTAGAGTGATAAAATGTTTCATTGCAGCTGATAGAAAAACGCATTTATAAAGACCAGCAGAAAAAAAGGCGTCTTATACTTTGAATGGAACAACATCATTTATCAAGACACTTTTATGGTAACAAAACAATGAAAAACTCAAATCATTTACACCCTCATTAAAAATAAACGAGGATAAAGGAATCACACATTGCATAAAGACAGCAAGTAGGATCTGTTATGAAGTAAACTGATGAAATTTTAAGAAGTTGCGATAAATAACTAAAAAAAAATCTTCAGTAAACTATGATGAAAAGCAGACTTGAGGTTTATTCATGCAAACTAACTTTGTGTTTTCATTTTGCATCGAACGCATTTAAAGTGAAACTTGCTGGTACATATCGCTGTTGTTTTACCGCCCAGGCCTATTCCTGATTATCCAAAATTCACTTTGGTAATTCCAGGGTCCTGCTTACATGCTAATATCGTTTCTCAAATTTGCTTTTACTACGTGTTAATACGGTTTGAAGGCACACTCACGTCACGGCATTGATGGACATTTAGATTTAATTGGATTTGTCAGTATTACCTCCCGAGCCTGAGCTCTGGAAAGAGCAAGTGGGAGAAAATCTATAAAATAACACATTATTCGTCTTATTATTGTTCTTAGTAAAGCCCATAACTGGACCACGTCCCATGGGTTGGGATGAAAATGGAAAAAAAAAGAAAAAAGCATGATATGGATTATTTCTGTTAACACAAGAGCTTGAAAGCTTCGAGTGTCACCCACCATGCAACGCTGAGCCTGAAGCTGGTGCTCGACCTGCTCGTGTCTATGCAGACGCACCGAGAGCTTTTGTTCTTCTACGTTAGGTGGGCAAGCAAACAAAGACGAACTTTTAATCAAGCACAGCTCATGGTGTAAGCCTGGCTCGCTGTGTAAATAACCAATACTCCTCAAGTCTCATCAAAGGGAAAACTAATAAAGCCGAGCTATCCAGTTCTTCCTGACAGATATTAAAGACACCCCATAGAGCTTCAAAGACACCGTTAGCGTTGGTACAATTACTTTTCTTTGGGTTGATTTGAAGCACGAGAGATTTCGGCCACAGAGGATATTAAGTCTGTAAACACTATAGGCTTCTTTGCTGTTGTCACATTAGTAATAACTTAAAGATAGGAATTAGGCTTTTCTTTATGAGATGCTGGCAGATAACAGGATCATAGAGCAGCTCTGTGACGATGAGCGTCACGAGTCGGGAGGGACTGACCTCCACGCTCTGGTGTCAGAGCTGCAGCGATGCCCCCTCCCTCCTCCTTCATGCCTAAAATCACACCTGCCCACACGTATGCATACCAGATCACTCCATCACAACAAGCAGCACCCACACACACACCGGCACAGACGCACACACACAGTTCTGTTCAGCCCTGTCCAGACCAGAGGAATAATGTTAGCACTGAAGCCGGCAACCAAAAAACCTCACAGGTGTCAAAACTAATTGGAGGCTTATGTGCCGCCGCCGACAAAAGTGGCAAAAGGGGTGTGTGTGTGTGTGTGTGTGAGTATGCTGTATGCTGGTCTTGTGTATCTGTGTCCGCAAGAGACAATGCGTAGGCAGGTGTAAGTGTGCGTGTGCAGGAGAAAGTGTGTGGGCGGGTGTGACTCTGTGTGTGTGAGAACGGGAGCTGTTGCTGAGGCTGAGCTCTGGACAGCATCCCAAACTGCGTCTGCAGGGAAGCGCAGCAATCGCCATCGCGCCCCACGGAGCTCGCACACACAGATGGACATCAAAAAAAAAAAAAACAACAAAAAAAAGACACATGCAATCCCACACCGCAGACCCTCACCGCACACTTTGTCAGTTTGGCGGACCTAAAGTGGAGCCATTACCTCTCCTTTTGCTCCGTGTTCAGTTAATCTGTAGCCAGTGAGTGACATATGCTTTTAGCAATTGCTCATCATTATTCCCCATTTAAAGTGATGAGGTAAATGGTGGTGAAGCTACTTCAGAGAGTGTTTTATAACGCTCATGCGCTGTCTCACTAAGTGCAAGCCTTGGACTCGAAAAACCTTCCCTTTTCATCTTGTCAAACTTTGTTTGAGAGCCTTTTCTTACTGATGCATTCATGTATCTATCAGAGCATTGTGCTTGGTCTTTGCATAACTTAGGTTTAATTCATCTTTCTTTTTGTCTAGTTTGGAGGTGGAAGAAGCAATAAAAATAAGTACCTTCACAAGGGCTGCCATGGTAATGGTAATTCCAACACTATTTGAAAACAGTAAAAGAACTCAATGCTTCATTTCATTATAGAAGCCTTCAATGTTTTCTGTAGATTGAGCTACTGCAGGGTCACGTAGGGGATGTGTGCGCGAACGTAGAACAAGGAAAAATATATTGATCTCTGCCCATATCCACATATTTACAGAGCTGTTGTTGTTTTATGTCATACCAGTAGGCCTGGGTGATATATGATAGTGATATGTAGTGGTAATAAACGCTTAATCAATAAAAAAACAAGAAAATGGCTCAATATAATGTTTCTTAGGTTCACTTACATGCATTAGAAGCAAACTGCCATGAGAGCACATGATAAAAACACAGTTTGGCTGCATGAACAAACCTCAAGACTGCTTCTTTTTACTATTAAATGATCTATAAGGATCGATATTTATTGAAATTGAGATGACTTTTTTAGCTTTACTGCCCTGCCTACCTAGCAGACATGAAAAGGTAACACTCAGAACTTATAAAAGCTTATATCTCTTTATAACAGTGGAGATTAGTGACAGTGGGAACAAAAGAGTTAATGTGCTAAAGGTTAGGTAGATGTTAAAACAAGTGTCTGCATTGTCTCCAGGCTGGGAGCAGCTTTTATTATAAGGAATAAGTACTATCTTGGAATATAAAGGTATAGATAAGAAACACAGAAGACTAGTTTGAGTAATAGATGAGTTCACTTAAAAAAACGGTTTCGATATCACTGCACAAATAACTTTATCATCTGCCTTTATTATCGTGAGGTGAAGAGCAGGAATGTGCACTTCACGCTGCTGCCCAGAATGTACACTTCCACCGGTGCACTCTTTTTGATTCAGCACTAATGTTGGTGTGAACGCAGTCTTACTTTTAACACGTCAAGGCGTCGCAGTCTGTTTTTGTACCTACAGTGTTATTCACAGTGTCTTCCACTAGCTTAAACTGCTGGAAGTGTCAGTAGTACGGAGGATATGGATCGCCTATTAATATGGTTAAATGACACCCCCAACAACTGTTATTGTTTGGGGTTGTTTAAGCATGTGGTTTCGCACAAAAGAGGAGATGAGCTAATTTAGAGGGCTTTCAGCGGCGTTCACACTAAAAACACAAGGTCAGGTAGTCCAAGGGCTAATGCTATGCTGGAAAATGCATCCAGGCATTTACAGCAACTGACAATGTTGATAAAAAAAATAAAAAATAAAACCTCCCCCACACATACATATAATGCTGCATTTATTAAAGTCTAAGAGGTGCTAATTTATTGGTA